TTGTCCGACCCCCGGGCCGCGCGGCTACACACGGCAGGGGCTAGATATTTGAATCTTTTTAGCCATTCCGATCTATCTGTACACCTCGTTCCACAAGTTCGAACAAGCCGGCTTTTAAAAATGGCAGAGCCGGCTTTATGCTAATGAAGCCCGGGAAATTCAAATCCGGGCTTCATTAGCAAGTTCGGTATGCATACATTACCCCGCTAGTTCGAACTAGCGGGGTAGTGTAGACATACCCTCAGAGAAGCCCTGGCCTGGGCAGTGGGGCTCTGGCGCCATCTTGAGGGGAGAGCGGATCCCTGACCCCAGCTCTGGGGCAACAGCTGGGCGGGGGCAGAAATGTGCTGGGAGGTTCCCCAGCAAACCCACAGCCTAGCCCTGGGCAGGGGATCAGTGAATTCCACCGCTGTGCATGGACTCCCCACCCCCACAGAGGTAGACTAGGGGTGGGGGGAGCTGCAGTCCTGGTGAGGGGGGCAGGCAGTGATGAGGGGCTTCCTGGCCCCTACAAAGGGGGAACAGACCCCAGGAGCAGGGCAGAGTCCCTAGACATGCCCCAGCTGAGGGGCTGGAAAAGAGTGATAACGGAGAGGCTGCTGCTCTCTCTTATTGCCAGGCTGCTGGGCTGTGCAGCATCCCTGTCTATGGGAGCTGCTCCTGGCCAGACTGCAGCCCTGGCTGGCTCTGCTCTGCTCTGGGCCTGAGATTAAGGTCCTAGCCGGCTCAAGCCTATGGGGACCGTGGCTTGGCAGGACTCCATGGGTCTTGAGGGGAGCTGAACTCCTGAGCATCCAGGAAAGAATCACCACTGCACGAATTCACGCTTCCAGCTTTATTGCAATGGGAATAAACATGCTGACCATCTGCTCCAGTTTCTATAAAAGTCCAAACGCAGGAGAGGAGCAGTGATGGGGAGGCTCGGAGAAACACAGGCTGAGAGCGCTGAGACATTGGGGAGCAGGGAGGGGTCATGGAGCAGAAAAAATTTCTCTAAAAACTTGCAAAGTTCTCAGGCTACTCAGTTATTAGCCCACTGGCCCCATCAATGCCGGCCATTTCAGAGTCAGTGCAGACCATAGATGCACAGTGGGTCATGTCCTTCATATGCTGGAGCATTCAATAGACACGTCACAGGCTTTCCCTATGACGGCATATGTGGTAACCTCGGTTTCCCGCACCTGAGGATGCTTTAAAATGAAAATAAAATCCTGTTATTCATCTGCTAACTCCCAAACCCCAGAAGAGAGCGACTGGCACAGCAACAGAATAGCTCTTTGAAGGGAACTACAGGCAAAGCAGCTGGTCAGAATGGGTACGTCTAGACTACATCACTTTTTCGGAAAAGGAATGTAAATTAGACGGATTGAAATTGCTAATGAAGAGGGGGGGATTTCAATATCCTATGCTTCATTAGCATAAAAATGGCCACTGCTTTTTTTTGGCATGTGGCTTTGTCGGAGAAAAGCAGCAGTCTAGAGGCTGATCTTTCGAAAAATAAAGCCTTTTTTGAAAGATCCTGTAAACCTCATTTCACGAGGGATAAGGGATCTTTCGAAAAAGGCTTTATTTTCAAAAGATCAGCCTCTAGACTGCCGCTTTTCCCTGACAAAGCTCCATGCCGAAAAAAAGTGGTGGCCATTTCTATGCTCATGAAGCGCAAGACATTTAAATCCCCGCTTCATTAGCAATTTCGATGTGTCTAATCTGCATCTCTCTGTTGTCAGAGAGAGATGCAGTCTAGGCACACCCAATATGGAGAAACAATTTTGAAAAATAATGCCCATTTGTTTGCATCTCACTGGTTCCAGATGGATCCAGTCATGTTTCTGTTTGCACAATTTGCCATTATTTGTCATCAGAATTCTTAATCAATGTGCCTCACACCATTATAGTTATTTTTATTTACTGAAAGCCTAGTTATCAGGAAACAAACAGTTTAAGTGGCCCAATCCTGCAAGTTTTTGTGGAAATTTTCCTTTTGGGAAAAATTGGTTTATTTTTCTACCAAAAAAAAATCCTGTTTTGTTCAAAAAATGTCAATGAGCTCAAACACAGGGCGGGAGCAGGCAGGGATAGAAACCTGGGCAGAAGGAGAGACAAATCTCATCCTTTTCATGGGTTGTTAGAAGCCATGCTTGCAGTGGCAGAAGTTCTGGGTGGGACACAGGAATCGCTGGGTGAGACCCTGCTGGAGGGCAGACCAGACAAGCACAGCGATTCCTTCTGCACTGAAATCTCTGAGGCTGGTCCCTGTGCCCAACAAGGCAGAGAGAGGACAGCAAATGCAAATTCCCACTGGGAAGTCCCAGGTCCTGAGCCTGATATTTACAGTCAGGATTCAACTAACGTCATGACTCACCCTGGCTGCGCCAAACTCACTGATGGCAGCATCTGGGGGAGAGTTAGCAGAGAGCAGAGGGTTACGTGATGCTCCCTGGGAGAGCCCCTCATACCTCACCTCCCATTAAGCTCCCAGCACCTCCTCATGACACCTTCCCAGCCCCAAATCCTCTCCTGTCCGTGACCAGCCAGCAGCACAGAAGGCTCGGGGTCAGAGGGGTCAGAGGGAGGCTGCCTTGGCTGGGGATGACTTGCTCCGTGTCTCAACAGCACCTCTGGGGCCTAGGGCAGGGGCTGGGCCATTCCCTCTTCAGCAAGTGGGTCTGTGGAGATGCTGTGATTCTTGGGTGGGCCCAGGTGCCAACGTTTAGCTCAGTACCATGCTGTGCTATGTGGGTGTCTCAGACCCTGCCACACCTCACAGTAGCCAGCTGAGGGCTGACAGAAGGGAGTGGGAAGCAGAGGATATGCAGGACCAACCTCATCTCCAAATGGGCCACAACCTCCTGCCTCCCCTTCCCCGGCAGATGGATCCCCTGGGATGTGAGTGTAAATTCTAGTCCTCCACCTACTTACACGGCCCCCAGCATTGCCTATGCATATGGGGCTATTCTCCTTGCCCCTCAATCCGTTCAGACCAGCCTGTGGCTACATATGGGGAGCAGTGGCACAGAGAGCTAACACTGCAGTGCACCTCCCATACGCTGAACAGCCCCTCGCTCTGAGAGCCGCCCCATGGAGTGTCAGGCAGAGCTCAGAGAGTGAGCTGTTACTCATCCTGGGCAATGGCAGAATGACCTGCTGCTAGGGGACTTACCCAAGGTCATCCGGGGACCCTGTGGCAGAGCCAAGAATTAACTCCAGATCCCCCAAGCCTCAGTGACCCAAACACAAGACCAGCCGCTCTGCCAAGCCCTGTAGCTGGGATTGGAGCCATAGATCAGGGGGATGTAGGGTTCCCTGGGAAATGTCCCCCAGACTGAACCGGCCCAAAGCTCCCACCTCAACGCAGCGCACAAGGAGCTCTGCAGAACAGTGCACGCAGCTGCTGCTCCGGTGTCCATGAGTTGAGTGTGTGACAACACCCAGCTCAGCCTTCGTTCACTGTCCTGCAGTCACTCACCTAAGACTGAACACTCTCTCCGCACTAGCCCAGCAAGGGGAAGTGCTGACCCCACAAGTAGAAAGCTGTATCTATTGCTTGAGGTAAGTGTCCAAAAATAACACACCCTAGTTCCCACTCTGAGATCTTGTGATGGAGTTAGACTTTACATTGTGGGCTCTGCTCACACCCCAGCACAACCAGCGCAGAGCTGGCTCACGGGCCCAGCAACTCCTGACCGTGAGAAATACTCCTCCCCTTCCCTCCCCCTGACCTGACCGGTTCTTTAAATAGAGACATTTCACCAGGCGGTTTGTTCTAGCTGGGCTGGGTTTGAAATGGAAACAGCAGTGAAATAAACACAGCAGCAGCCTGAGACAGCCCAAAATAAGCCAGTGCTGGGACTAGCAGAACCACATCAGGTTTTCTCTCTGGTGTCAGCTCTAATTGTGTCATGGGAGTTGCAAGGGAGAGCTGAGATGTGCACCCCAGTTATTATTAATTAGCAGATCACAGCAGGTCAGGGTTAGTGTAAGACACGGAGGAAGTCTCTGACCTGTGCAGTACAGGAAGTCAGACTAGATAGCCACTGGTGTCCCTGCTAGCCTTAGGATCTATGAATTACAGCACAAGGTTCCCCTGATGGTCATGAATTACAGCACAAGGGTAGTTTTAACTCTCCCGTGGCACAGGGGGCTGCCCTTGATGATCCCTTGACGTCCTTTCCAGCCATCCAGCTCTCTGGTCTTTTCAGGTGTGTAACACCAGCTTGTTTGCCAACTCTGTGAAGGAGGATCTTGCAGTAACAACAGAATGAGCCATCCTATGTGCATAGTTCTAGAAAAACATCAGGTTTGTGACAAGGACCAAGAAGATGGTGTTGCCAGGAGCATCTATTCTAGGAAGCTAAGATTTTTCAAAATGATGGTTTCAATTCTTGGGTGCTGCACTTAATACCTCCTATAGAGACCTGTTTCTAGACAGCCTGGACCCCCTTCTGCACCCCAAACACCTCAGCCTCAGGCCCCACCCCAGAGCCTGCACCCACAGTCAGGTTGTGTCTAGACTACATGCCTCTGTCGTCAGAGGCATGTAGATTAGACACATAGGCAAAGGCAAATGAAGCCGCGATTTAAATGATCGCGGCTTCATTTACATTTACATGGCTGCCGCGCTGAGCCGAGCAGCCCCATTATTCCTCGTGGGACGAGGTTTACTGGGGCTGCCGACAAAGGGCTTTGATGTCAGCAGGGGAGCGTCCAGACTAGTGCGCTGAGTGGACAAACAGCTGATCAGCTGTTTGTCGGCTCAGCGCGGGAGCCATGTAAATGTAAATGAAACCGGGATCATTTAAATCGCGGCTTCATTTCCCTTTTCCAAAACAACAAATCTACATGACTCCGTCGACGGAGCCATGTAGGTAAGACGTACCCTGAGAGCCCTCACCCTCCTGCTTCAACCCACCGTCCCCTCCTGCATTCTGAATTCCTCATTTTGGCCCCACCCCACAGCCAGACCCATACAATTAATAGCCCTGGACCACCAGAAGAGTTAGACCAGCGCTATGGGTAGCCCTTCCTGTTTTTCACACCTGAGCAGGGAATTTGGGGCCTGTGGAAACACAGAAAGATCAGACACAGGCCAGAAGCCAGGCATGGGTACCAGGCATGGATGCTGTGCAGGGGGAGCGTGTTGGGGTGAGTCCCAGCTCAGCTGTACAGATTTGGGGCTATTAGCAGGGCTCCGTGGCTAGGTGTTTGGTGTGTCTGCTCCTTGTCACACCTTATCCTCCCTCAGCTTGGTATTTCCAGCTGTGTTCAGTCATCAAGCCCTTAGGTCCAGACCTTCAGAGGTACTGAGGCTCAGAATTTAAACTGACAAAGTTAGGAGCCTAAACGACCTCTGAGCCTGCAGTTATAATGGCTTTGGGAAAGGGATTGTCTTTTGACTCTGTGTATGTACAGCACCTGGCGCACCATTCCCCGGGATCAGTGGGCACCAGACCGTATCCACACACAGGCAGGAAGGGGGAAGAATAGATCCTTACAGTGGATCTGCTCCTCTGTGGGCGTGTTCTCAGTGCTGCGGTTTGGGAGCTCTTCCCTGTCGAAGGCAAGTGTGAAACGTGTCAGTGCAGCAGGGTATTGCACTGGGTTTGTGGTGCACATGCTGCTGCTGGGCATTGTATGATGCACAAGTCTCCTTGGCCAGCAGGTGCGTCTCAGCCTGCATTAGACACTAACAGCGAGAGAGGCCGGGAAATCCCAGGGGTCCCGCTTACCAGGGAACATTCCAGGGTGTCTAAAAACTCAGTTCCCTCCCTGGAATCTGCCCCTCCCTGCATCACCCCCTGGGGACACGTCCAGACTCACAACCCCAGGCTAAGGTCCCCTCCTCCCTACCTTGGATCACTCCGTTTCACTGTGACTGAAAGAAAAAGGAAGGAAATTACAGCTGGCAGCATCCCCACCATCTATCCCTCCCTGCCCGAACAAAGGGATGGGCCCTGCCATGTGTGACCAGGGGCTGGGCTCTGCACCATGGTTATGATGGGCATTTCAGAGCAGCCCAAGGGATTTGCAGATCTATCTGTGAACTTACTGCATCCAAATCCCTGGGCAGCTTTGGCAATTGTGGCCTCAATGTAGCTCCCCAGAATAGCCCCCTGGAGCCGAGCAGGCTTCTGGCTCTGTCCGGAAAGTCATGAGCAGCTGCCCCCCTGTGTCATGTGTCCATCCCCTGCTGGCACCCAGGATAGACTGGGGTGGTATTTGCCAATGTGCCCATGGGATTAGGGAGCTCCCACTACATGGTCAGCTCATGGCACTTCGGTTCCTACTTTCCTTAGCAGCTTCTGAAACAGCATTTCCCTAGGCATTTGGGGCAGCATTTCCGAAAGCCCCTGAGAGACCAGGCTGCTTAAGAAAGCCACTGAATGTAGCTGCATTTGTTTCATAGGCTCATTGGAAAATGGTCCCGTTGGTTTCTCCTTGACATGGCCACTGTCCACTCACCCCCTTGGGCTCATATCTCAGTTAGTTGGGTTGGTTCTGCTTTGGGCAGGGGGCTGGACTCAGTGACTCCTGAGGTCTCTTCCAGGTCCAAGATTCTATGATTAAGTCCTTGTCACCTACCTTTCTTCAGCAAGCAGATCAGTGGCACCAGACACAGGATAGAGAGCCCCATGACTCCCCCGATGGCCGCCAGTCCCCAAAGCTCTCCTGGGAAAACCAGAACAACATGAGCAAGCCTGCGGGAGCCAGTGTTGCTGGGTTCATGGTGCAGGTCTCTCTGCACCAGGGGTCGTGCTGACAGAGTCACTTCTGGGCTCTGTCTACGACAGTCCCTGCCTAGCTGGGCCCATACAGATCTTTCCGTGTTCCCTGCTTCTGCCCTGTCAGCTCCTGACAACAAAGTCACTGCCAGAGAGAGACAGGGAGTGACAGAGACCTGGGAGCAGCCATGCCCAGGAAGAGCGAGGGTACATCAGAGAAACGGGGCACATTCAGCACAGAGCAGACACAGGGAAACCCCCACACTGGGACAGGGACATAATGGGCTACACAGCAGAGTCTGTTGTTCCCAGGGCCAACGCCCCTCCCCCCCCCGGGATATTCTCCAGGAGGGACAGAGAAAGGAGAGAGGGGAAGGGGCTAGGAACTGCTGCCTGGGATAGGGGAGTGTGAGGATATGGGAGCAGCAATGCTGGATGTGACTCCAGGCAACACAGCCAGCTGTACAGACCCATGGCCAGCTCTGCATACTCTGAGCCTTGAGCCATGGCTCCTTCGGCAGGGCTGGTAGCTCTTCCTAACTCAGTCTAAGGCTAGTTCAGCTCTGGAAACCCCATGCTGGGGAGGGGGGTTTGAAAGACAGGTTGGACAAACCCCTGCAGGCAGTGGCAGAGCCAGTGGGGCAATGTGGCCTGTGCTCTGAAGCACCAGACAATTTTGGGGCCCCCACAGGTTTACCAGCACTCTGACCCTGCCTCCCCTCTGCCCCACGGTGCTCCCACTCCCTGTACCACTCTTCTCCCTGCTCCTCTCCCCTGCTCCTCCTTTTACCCCTGAGGCCTGCACGACAGAAGACAAACAGAGCCTGTGTCGGGAGTGAGTGAAGATACCTCCCCCCCCAGCCCTGCCTCCCAGTCCTCCAGTCCCCCCCACACAGTGTGTGCCTGAGCGCCGTAGCCCCCCATGAGAGCCAGCCTGAGCCTCTTTCCCAAGCCCCCTCCTTTCCTGCGCAAGACTGGCCTGAACCCTGCCTCTTGCCCCCCCACTCTTCTCCCATTGCTCACCCCCTGATCCTCATTTTGGCAAAGCAGGTTATTTGTGCTGATAGCTCCTGCCAACTGGTGATCAGGTAACAAGAGCAAATGGGACAAAGACCCAGTTTTTCCAAAAAACACTGGGACAGCCAGGGCCAAAACAGGACATGTGGTCACCCAAGGCCAGAAGTCCTCAAACCTTTCAGTTTTGTCCCCCACTTACGTTGTCTATCCTTCTCTTCAAGCTTGCTACATAGGTCGAGGGTCACGGTGGTGCTGGCAGCTATGTCTGGTGGCTGGGAGTGGGGCTGGAGGTCTGTCTGGGGCACAGCCATGGTGGGGCTGAGGGTACGGTTGGAGTCAGGTTGGAGCAGACCTGGAGGCAGAGCAGAAATTGTTGGTGCATCCTCTTCACTCCCTGTGGGAGCTGACCTGGGCCCCACCCCTTCCCCAAAAGTTCCCTCATGCCCCTGGAGTGGGGACACACCACAGTTTGGGAACCACTGTTCTAGATGGAGGTAAAATTCACCCAGGGATCCACTGCAGCTGTGGAGAGCCTAGGACCTTTACCTGCTCTGGTTGGGGGAACTGGGAGGCTCAAGAACAGCCTCCAGCCCATGCCCTGATCTCCAGGGTGGGTCCAGGATTCCCTGAGCAACTCTTGCCCAAGCCCCAGCTTCCACCCAGGCCAGGAGAAAGTTCCTTGGGGGAAAGGAAGGAGCAGAGGGAATGTGGGGAGCCCCAAAATTCTTTTACAAGGGCCCCAATAAATCTTAATCCATCCCTGCCTGCAGGCATTGCTTAGGTTGACTTGGCCCTGCCTTGGTGCAGGGGGTGCGCCAGGTGACCTCTGGAGGTTCATTCCAGACCCACCATTCTGTGACTCTGTGATTACATTCCCGGCAAAGACTTCCCTGGCTGGTGGGGGAAGGGCTGGCCTGGAGCAGCACAGGATGCATCTCCCAACCCAGCTCTCATTGCTCTTGACACAGCGTGAGGGGTTTTTAGATGGGCAGTGCTCTGAAGCTGCCCTGGCTGGTGGGAAGGTCGCCTGGGCAGGAGGAGGAGCCCCAAAGCTGGTTAGAAAAGGGTTTTGTTTGTTTCAGAAAAAGCAGATGGAAATGAAAACAAAAACAAAAGTTTGCCACCATTTTTGGTGGGAAAACTGCAATTTTTCAGCAAACAGCAAAAACATTTTATGCCCGTCAGCATCAGAACTCACTGAACAGCAATCAGTTGTCAACCAGAGACTGGAATATTTTCATTTTTCTATTTGCTGCACTGAAAAAGGAAAACTCCTCATTTGCATAAT